TCATCGGCTGGTGAGTTACCACTGTTGTGTTGTTCTGGCCCTGCATGCCCTGGTGAGAAGTGTCCACAGAGGTCATTACAGACGCTATTCATACCCTGGGCATATTTCAGAAAGCTTCTTTAGATTCTTGTTTGATAGTCTGGTTTGATACGTTTGAAAGCTGCCAGATTTGCCTCCACATAGGATCACAAGCTACCATTTTGGCACAATTTGAACAGACCTTTCAAAAATGTATTCTTTTACAATGTAAGTGTCCCCCCTACTCTCAAATCTACTCAATTTAGATTATTTAGGGGGCTGGCTTCCGACTCTGCCTGTTACTGTTAGGGCCAACCAGTGCTGAGAGGGATTCAACGACCCAGCAGAAAGACCGAGATACATGAATTTGTCTCCCCACGCAGGAATCAAACTCCCGTCTCCTGCGTGCGACAGAAAAACGACATTCCACTACCCCACAGACGTCAGTTCTTCTAAGATTAAGACCGTTTGATATTCTAGGCCACTTTGAAAATCGATCAAGCAAAGCAGATATCTGTTTTATATAGAGTGCATTCACCAACGCCGTTAACGCTTGAACCTGATTATTAAACAGATTACAGATCGGGTCCATTTAACCAGTGGGCATCCTCTCTTTGGGAACAGTTAAAACAGTTGCTACGTTTCGGCGAGTCAAATCGAATCATGCCCTTGAGAATAAAAGAGGTCCAACCGAGTTCGGTCAAAATTGCTTATCACTTCAAGGGAACAAAGCTCTTTTACACACCTGGGCCGAATATATCTAAATCTTACATCCCTAGCTGTTATCTTGAAAAATTTCTTTTACCTGAAATAGAGCTCATAATTTTAATTTTTTCCGGGAAACTGAAAATCCCTTTTCCATCGAAACTGCCCAAAGTGCAGTTGGACTACTCCTAATTTTATCGAACCCATTACATTTTTAGTTTTGAAAGAACTTCATTACTTGAAGTTCTTCTGAGGGCCATTTTTGAGGATATAGTTGAGTTCCTGAGAAGTGCACGAGGGCCTAAAAAACAAAATAATAATATGATTATCTTCTTCTTCTTCTTTTTTTGTGGTTTTGACAATAAGTGTTTTTACGGCGATCGCAACTGCATAAGGTCACAAGAGCGCGGTGAACACATTAAACATTTTCAGTCTGGTAGGAATTTTGAGGGCAAAAAGAGGAGAAAAAAGAAGACGACAGAACATTGTTAGAGAGCAGGAAATGAGGTGAAAGGAAATCATTTCAGAGAAGGAAATTTTCCCTCTCTGTCAGGTTACAAAATCGGGACCTATCGCATGAGAGGCGAACACCATAACAATTACTTCACGAGAGCCCCCTCTTCTTCTCCTTTTCGTTCTTTTTGCTAGATCTCAGGGGTAGTTAACTGCTGGTTCTGCAAACTAGAGTGCAACTGATTTGTATGAGTAAGTTATGATTGTTTGCCCTACAGCGTAGAGCCCATCTACTTTAAGTGTAAGACAGGCACACTCCGATTTCGAAGGTATTCTACTATTTTTTTTCCATATCGACCAAAGTATTTTGGTAAGAATTAACTTTGAGCTCTGCATGGTGACCACCGAAGAGTACTCTTGTCGAATTTAGGACCACCAAGGGATCTTGTACACAGGACCCCCGAGACTTTTCGCTCTTATCCGAGAAGGCCAGGTATCTGATTTTACCTACCCTAAGACCAGGGAGAATAAGCCAAGAGCAGTAGTAGAAAGAGAAACAAGCAGGAGAGAACCAGAAAGGGGGTCATGAGGGTGTACGTGTGTACGTGTGTGTGTGTGTTTTATATATATATATATATATATATATATATATATATATATATATATATATATATATATATATATATATGTATATAATATATACATGTATATATAGTCGAGAGTGAAGCCGACGGCAAAAAAAAAAAAAAAATAATAATAGATAATAAATTGCATTTCCTTGAACCCCGCGGGGAAGCTTGGGTTACAATGGCAAGCATACACACATAAATGCAAGAATATAAATACATACATACGTGAATGCGTGCAAAAATACACATACATACATACCACATACATAAATACAAAATATTACACCAATGAAGAACATTCTCACAAACATATCATTGCTGGTCGCCACTGAGCAGCACCCGGTTATTTATTTATTTATTTTTCTTGGTAAGAATTGTCGTGTCTTGCTCAAGGACGAGATAACAGGAAACGAGGACAAAGGGAAAACTGTTTAAATAGCAGACTTTCTTTCCATCCCTGGCAAGGAGACTCGCACATCCTACCTCCTCAACACGATTATTAAATTTCAAGAAAAGTCAATAAGCCAACAGACACACAGAAAAAAGACATGGGCGTGTGGTGGCTGTACACTTACATACTGCGGCGGGTAGGGCTGGCCAGCAGGCTGCATTGGGTATCCGCCCTGGGGTAGGTACCCTCCCTGTTGTGGGTAGGGGTTGTAGCCGTAAGGATCTGGCTGGGCAGGATTCCCAGAGGGGTCTCCAGTAGGGGGTGCATACCCGGTGTTGCTCTGTCCGGGGTTCGCTTGGTCGTAAGATGGTGGCGCGGTTTCTACGGAAAGGAAAGAAATAACACTGCACTGTAAAAGTAGGTTGGTAGGTGGTTTTTATTGGGGGGGGGGGGGGGGAGGAATGGATAAGTTGGTAAGTAACGACATTGTAGGTAAGAAGGTAGGTAGTTGGGTCGGTAGATAGATAGGTAGGTATGTACGTACGCACGTAGGTCGGTAGGCCGGTAGTTCGGTAGGTCGTTAGGTATCGGATGTCTAAAAACTATCTTTTGAAGGGGCAATACCTCGGCTATCTTTGGACCAATTTCAATAAAGCTTAGAACAAATCAAACATAATTTAACATAAGAACATAATATACCAATCCGCTCGAGAATATTCAAATTTTTGAAAAGTTCAACCAAAACCAAGTGAAACGCAAAACCGCAACTTGTTGAAATTCACCCTTTATATTTTATTAGTGCTTTGAGGAACATATTTATCTATAATGGGTGGTTCTAAATAACTCAAGGGGAGGTAATGGCTATATAAATTGTACAATTCGGGTGTTGACCATTCTCTCTATACAAGCTTTAACACGCCGCAGGAAATTTTGATAAACTTGTGGCACTTTTCTATGACGATTCTTTGGACATTCTGCTCAACATTGAGTTCCAACTGTTCAATTATTTATGGGTTGTTCCCGTAGACTCTTTTTAAAAGAAGAGATAAGGAAATAATTGATGGAGTTCAAGTCAGAAGAAGAATGTAACAATTCATTTGTAAACTTTCGGCTTACAAGACTTTCACAAACTCTTCTTGCACGATGCAAGGGCAACTTTTGGTGTGTGGGATGTAGCCCCACCCACCTGGAACTAGAGCTTCTCAATACCACAACCCCTTCTCCTCTCCAAACGTCTCATAAAACTTTCTCAGCACGGTGAGACATCCATCTGATGTGACTGTTGTTATTTTACAATTCTTGTCCTTCTTCCAGAACTGGCCGATCAAGCTCCTGTAGCTGACTGATTTTGAGAAGTAAAGTTTAGTATTTTCCTCAGTTTTGGCGAAACTTTTCAGAACTTAATATTTCTCCAACTTGCGCGCTGATTTTCTTCATATTGACACATTTGATGTCTCTTTGGTAGGTTAAAAAAAAAAAATGTGGAAAGATGACGGAGATATTGCGCGCGCGCGCGCGCGTGTGTGTATGTGTGTGCATGTCTGTATGCTTGAGTATGAGTGGATGTATGAGAATGGTTACGTGCATACTCTTCAGCTGTTAAAACAACAGATTTAAAAAAGAGAATGATAAACATTTTAAATAAACGAACCTCATGAAGTATATCTGTTTGCTTGTGATAAACAAACGCACACAGGTAGGATTACAAGTTGAGCGATAAGATACATTATATGTGTGTATTTAAAAAAAGAAAACGCATCAAGAACACTTTGTGACCTTCCTTTAATGAAATTTATAAACTACAAGTTAAACTTTGACACGGGTGCTGTTGTCCTTCAAAGAGTGTCATACCTATGCAATGCAGGCCCATGGTTGTTTATAAAAAATCTTGTTAGCAGCGTATGTGGGGGTTTGTTGTTGTTTTTTGTTGTTATTGTTTTTTTAACGTGTGTGTTGGTGTGTGTGAGTGAGTGTGTGTGTGTGTGTGTGTGTGTGTGTGTGTGTGTGTGTGTGTGTGTGTGTGTGAGAGAGAGAGAGAGAGAGAGAGAGAGAGAGAGAGAGAGAGAGAGAGGGAGAGAGGGAGAGACAGAGAGTGGGTGTGTGTTTGATGCTTTCTGCCAAAATTGGGAATGCGTTGTCAAAGTTTTGAGCGACGTGTAGAAGCGAAAATAGACATTAGAGTCACCCGAAGTGAGTGCGAGTTTTATTCATTCCAAGGGGTTCCCCGACATCTTCCGATTTATATTTTTCTTTTGTCATTTACTGAAATAAGGTGTACAAGTAATATTATGTTGTAATTTATTTCTGACATATGCTTTATTTCTTTCTCCTTCGAAAGTGTTACGTTTACATTCCATACTTTTTATATGTAATTTCACCCGGTTTTCTTGTTTTTAAAATCTGCAAAGTGGTTATTTACTCTAGCTGTGAATGTTTTGTGCTGTTTCAAAGTACTTGTACAACCAAAGATCCTCTACGCAAAAAGATGGTTAACTCCACAGAAACAACGTTCGTGTCCTCACAAATTCTCAGGTATCGCTACTGTCGCTATTTTGGAGCTTTCTTTTGTTTATCTAGAAGAAAAGCAGCAATTTTTAGTTTGAAAAAAACAAACACCCAATGCTATTTCTGCAACTTGACGAGGCGGTCAGCTCAATAATTATAATATTATTATAAATACAGCTTAACGCTCAATACAGATGAGTTCTTATTTACTAATCCACGGCATAGTAGCCTCTCATGGTCAACTTAAGTTAATTAAATGTCGAAAACGATCGCCCTGAAGACGAAACGCGATCAAGTCAACAATTTGTCATAGTACATAGTAGGCTCAGTAACTTTTGGAGTACTGCACGACTGCAGACACTTTGAAAGTGGGTGCTCACAAGTCTTCAAAACAATCGCGGAGCTCAGTAGATCTATCGAATATACATGTGTAATAGTTCTATGTGCCCGACATGTAGGCCCTACAAACTCTGGGATACTTCTGAGGAGCCACCGTTGAATGGAATTTAATACATGCTCAAGTCCTCAAGTCCTCCGTCATACTGTTCACTCTAGTCACTCTATCTATATGAAAGGTCACTGAGCAGTGGCGTCGATAAATCGGGATCTAACAATGTTATGAATAATTAATTAAAAACTTTATTAGGCCCACAACTCCTTCCCTTGTTGCGTCATTCATCCTCAGGTAGAGAATAAAATAAAACTATACAATTTTTTTTGAGAAATTGAAACTGCATTGAAAACGAAGTAACAATGTTGCCCTGATATTATTTCCTACACTTCCATGGTCAATTGTTCGCAAAGTCCGCGCAAATACTTAGGTGGCGCCGCCAACAACCTTGATGACACCTTTTTACTAATTTTGGTTGCTCAAAAAGGGGTGTGGTTTATCATGCACTACATAGGATCTTTGGTACAATTCTAAAATTTGGCGTGCTAGAGGCCAGAGTACGAGCCTAAATAGATAATTCGAGTTGAAACTTTAAACTCGTTTTTCTTAGTTCGTGCTATTTTTTTTTTTACTTCGTATCTCAAACGCAATTCTTTGAATATCGTGACAATGACTCCAAATAATCTTACGATTTTGATAGAGAAGATAAATCATTTATTGGTTTTTGACCTCATGGTCTTAGTTACTCAAAACGGCCAAAAACGTCAGATAGAACTTTGTAATTTTAAGGTAGCGATTCATTCATCTCGCAAGTGGCCAGTTTTATCTCCAGAGGTTTCTTTTTTTCTTTCTTTTTTTTCTTTTTGTTTTGTCTGGGCTTTTCTTTTTGGTCAAGGATTAAGTTTGGCACTTTTAGGTTGATGTTGGTCGAAACACGGCATTGGTGAGTTTTGCTTTTGTGTATATTAAGATGGGGGGTGCGGTGGGGGTTGTCTCATGAGATGCCTGACTGCTTTAGCTTTCTGGCGTCGTATTTCGATTTCTCTATCCTGTTGACCGTCTACTGGGAAAAAAACAACCTGTCTACATATTTGAATTCACTGCCTTAAGTTTCAGCTGGGATCTTTTCCGTTTAGTTTTGTAAGAGTTTTACAGCGCTCGCCACAGCATAAGGTCACATAAACGCACAGCTGGGATATGTTGACACTGATATCCAGCCTTTCGAGTTTCCTTCTGATACCCAGAACCTCTGTCTTGTTGACCCTAATTTTCACTTCGAACCTTACGTGGATAGCACAGAGCTAGTTTGTATATTGCTTGTAGTCCAGCCTCGTCCCTGTTTATTACTGCTTGTTCGCAAACAATGAGTCATAGAAGGCCTTAGGGTTTAGATTGGCCTTCTTTGTTATCTGGTCTACGACAGGCTAGAGAGCAGAGAGGAGATAACACAGCTATGCCTAAACCCGGATGTTGCTGGGAACCGATCAGATATGCCGCAGTGTAAGTGTAGCAAAAGTCAAAATGTCCAGACTCCAGACGCCTACACATTCCCCAAATAGTGTCCTTGGGAAAGGCACTTTACACGAACTTACCACTTGGCTCGGTCCTATCGGAGACGGACGTTAAACTAGGAGGCCCAGCCCCTTAGATAACCTAATAGTTTTGATGGGGGCGTTAAACCAATATACTTTTTTTAATTTTTCAGATAGATAGATAGATAGATAGATAGATAGATAGACAGACAGATAGATAGACAGACAGATAGATAGATAGATAGATAGATAGATAGATAGATAGATAGATAGATAGATAGATAGATAACACTGTATTGCTCCCCGTCGGGCAATTTGGGTTACTATGGCACACACACACACACACACACACACACACACACACACACACACACACACACACACACACACACACACACACACACACACACACACACACACACACAGAAACACACACTCACACACACACACACACACACACACACACACACACACGCGCGCGCGCCCGCGCGCGCGCACACACACATTTAAATACACAATTACAAGTGCTGCTATTGTCTCTACTGCTACTGCTACTGCTACTACTACTACTACTACTACTACTACTACTACTACTACTACTACTACTACTACTACTACTACTACTACTACTACTACGTTACTATTATTACCATTATTATCATTATTATTATTAACCTCTCATTATTATTATGATATCATCATCACCATCATCATCATCATCAACATCATCATCATCATTGTTTGGAAAGCAGAGTAGGAGGGAGAGTTTTGTTAAATTGTCAGACAAAATGACATAAAAATATGAAATGTTTAAAATTTGTTTAATAGACACAACTCAACATTTCGCCTCTTGGGTCCCCTCAACTTAGATATGAAAACTAAATGGGCGCTGCAGAATAGCAGGGAAATAGGCCTATCATCATCATCATCATCATCATCATCAACAACGTCATCATCATCATCATCATCACCATAACATGTATTGTTTTGTTGGTGTTGCTTTTGCTCTTGTAGTTAATGTTGTTGTTGCTATTGCTGTTGTTTTTGTAGTTGTTGTTGTTGTCGTTGTCGTAGTCGTTGTCGTTGTTGTTGTTGTTGTTGTTGTTATTGTTGTTGTTGTTGTTGTTATTAATGTTGTTTTCAGCTTTGCTATTGTTGCCGTTATTGATGTTGTTTTATGCTCTCTAGTCACTACACTCCTACAGTACAAGATAACCAATTTTATTCTCCGATAAAAGGGTATTGGTACTAGAATCTAGATTTCGTACAGTATTTATTACACAATCTCACCCTTTTCAGCCATATTTGTCTTCAAAAATGTAACGCAGGTAGAACTAGGCCTGGATAAAGTACCTGGGTGTTGTATCCTTACAAAGCTCGCTGGTAACTGCTTCTTCGTCTCCTATCGCTCTCTTTATATTCACGACTCACCGGCACGCTTTTGGGGGAAAGCAACTAAAAGTTATTGAAAAAAAAAGAATATCAACTGAAGTATGATTTAAATAAATAAATAAATAAATTGTTTGTTTGATTTGGTAAGTGTTTTACGGCACTCACAACTGCATTAGGTCATATGAGCGCGCGGGACACACCTAATATTTTCAGTTGGTAGGAAATTTTGAATTTTGCCCAGGTGGGGGCCGAGGCCTACTCTTATCGATTTTAGACCACCAAGGGATCTTTAACGTGTGCAACTTGCACACGGGCCCCCCGAGATTTTTCGCTCTTGTCCGAAAAAGCTAGGTGTAGATCTTTCCTACCAGAAGATCAGGGGTGAGGTAAAAAGACAGCAGTTAGGAGGAGCCAAGGAGTAGCAGTAGAAAGGCTGCAGAAAGAGTCAGGAGCCCAGAGGAGGGGGCAAAGGAGGTGAGGGGGTGGGGGAAGAAAGTGGAAACGAAAGCAGACAACAGAAGATTGCTAGAGAGCAGGAAATGGGGTGAAAGAAGACAATTTTAGAGAAGAAACTTTTTCGGTCGCTACCCAGATTCGAACCCGGGACCTTTGAATGAGAGGCCAACACCTTAACCTCTAGGCCACGAGAGCCCCCCAAATAAATAAATAAATAAATAAGATAGTTTTAAAGGCTGTCCGCCATTTGGCTTGTTCCTATAGGAGATAAACGCCCGCGATATCCCTCAAGTGAACGTCAGAGGAACGGAAGTGATCCTGCCTCTTAAAATAAATTTACTGTGTTGACAGGGGCGTTAAATCTGTTTTTAAAAAAATTATTTTTTCCAGGATTTGACCCATGGCCACCCGATTCGAACTGTAGTTCAGTTTGATACCGACTGAGCTAACCGGGAGCCCCGCGTTTAAGAAGGGCACGTGCAGTAAAAGCTGTTGTTGTGTGTAACCTTATTGGTCTGTGTTACCGAACTTGGTCTGACATTGTTTAGGCATCGCGGTGAAATCAGGCGCTCGTCAAAATAATGAAACCGAAGAAACCAGCATTTTTCCCTCTAGTCTGGCAATTTTTAAAAATCGAATTATTGTTTGGGATGTTGTTGCTGTTGTTGTTGTATTGTTGTTATTTTTTGGTTCGGTGTCTTTTTCTGTCAAAAAAAAAAAAAACTTTTCCAAGCGGATTTTTACTGAAACATTGATTTAAGGCACAAAATATGCCAATTTTCGGTTTTCAAAGACTCTCAATCTATTGAAGTTAATACACTTTGGTGGCCAAATACTCGCTTATTTTACTCTGAAACAAGGTGACCCCCCCCCCCCCCGGCCTCTTTCAATTGCGAATATCTCGACCTGTTTGTAGATTCATGAGTATTTTTTAAATTGAAAGCAAGGCAAATGATCTATGACTACTATGAGCAAGCTTTAAGACGATACCAATAACCCAACAAGCCCAAAATTTGACGAGCGCCAGATTCCACCGCGTCGTGACACGTTTTGTATTTGTCTAAAGTGAACGTTATCAATCTTTGATGACGCATCCGTGACAAGCACCTGAGTGACTTGAAGCCATAGCTAACTGGTCTTAGGCTACTTAATCTATCTGGGCCATCTGGGTGTGCTGACAAACATAACATTTAAATTAAAGCGTTATGTTGCAACACAGTTAATCTGTCTAATAATAGAAAAGGGACAATCCAATCAAAGGGCAATAAGGAAGTCACCTCTCATGCTAATGTCGACAAAACTTCGAACAAATAAAATGTTGTTTGTTTTGTTTTTGTAAAGTGTTTTACGGCGCTCCCAACTGCAAAAGGTCATGTGAGCGCGCGGGACACACCTAATATTTTCAGTTGGTAGGAAATTTTGAATTTTGCCCGGGTGGCGGCCGAAGCCTACTCTTATCGATTTTAGACCACCAAGGGATCTTTAACGTGCGCAACTTGCACACGGGCCCCCCGAGATTTTTCGCCCTTGTCCGAGAAGGCAAGGTGTAGATCTTTCCTACCAGAAGATCAGGGGTGTGGCAGAAAGACAGTAGTAAGGAGGAGCCAAGGAGTAACAGTAGAAAGGCTACAGAAAGAGTCAGGAGCCCAGAGGAGGGGGCAAAGGATGTGATGGGGTGGGGGCAGAAAGTGGAAATGAAAGCAGACAACAGAACATTTCTAGAGAACAGGAAAGGAGGTGAACGGAGAAAATTTTAGAGAAGAAAATTTTTTGGTCGATACCTGGATTCGAGCCCGGGACCTTTGAATGAGAGGCCAACACCTTAAGCTCCAGGCCACGAGGGCCCCCCTAACAAATAAAATTCAACCTAGGGGACATCAAGTTTGTAAATACGAAGAAAATCAGTCAACGTGTTTGAGGAATATCAAGTTGTTTTGTTGATTTTTTTAAAATTTCAGCTAAAACTAAAACTAGGTAAAACGCGTTCAGCTACAGGTGCGTGATCTGCCCGTTTTGATTTCAGGACAAGGACGCTAAAACCCAAACTAGAACACCAGAATGGATATCTCACTGTGCTGAGAAAGTTTGGGAGAAGTTTGGGGAAGAGAGGGTGTTATACTGAAGATGCCTGGTTCCAGTGGGGTTGTGCCATACCCCACACGCCAAGAACGTCAAGGCTGGCCTTTGTATGGTTGAAAGAAAGGTTTGGAGGAACGACTTGTCGTCAACTTTTAAGCCTAAAGGTTACAAAGGAATTGCCCCCCCCCACCCCAATTTGAGCCCCTTCAATTATTACCTTTGAAGTTTATAAGTTTTTAAAAAATAAACATAGTCTATGGAAACAACCATAAACAATCGAGCTCAATGTTGAACGAGAGGTCCAAAGAATCGACCAAGAAACAAGCTACAGGCTTATTCAAATTTTCCAAGGGCATATTTGAGCTTTTGTTGAGAGAAATAGTCAAAAAAATAGTTGCCTCCTTAGACTAGATTTTTCTGACATTTTTGGTTGTTCTTAATAAGACCATGAAAACAGAAACCAAATTTTCTGGCTGCTGTATCAAAATCGATATATTCGGAGTCGTTAACAAGATATTCAAAGAATTGCTTTCGAAAAAAGCATAACCTGATGTGAAAAACAAAACGTTTCACGTCAAATTTCTCGAAAGTAGGGTAATAAACACATAAAACTTTGTTTAAATGTAATTTTTGGATTGTGAAATACCACTTCCCTGAATTCGTTTCGCAATTATAATATACTATTTCGTGGGCAAGGTTTGTAAGCGCTGATCTATTGAGATAGAGTTTTGCAGTGGGGACTGCCGATCGCACCCATTCTGAGCCTTGTGTTAGCGGGTGATCATCATCATCATCTTTGCCTTTCTCACCCTGGACCAGAGTATAGGCCACAAACAAACACTTTTGCAGAACACAAAGAATAAAAGAATAATAATGTGTGACCAGGTAAGAACGGGTTTGTTTATTTGTTCGTTTATTGTTTGTTGGTTTGTTTTAAAATCAAAGAAAGGCACATCTAGACGATGGTGATCACTTAATTCTGGGAAAAAGTAAGATAGACAGACAGACAGAAACAACAGAGGGAAAGCTAATAAAAGAAAAAAAAGTAGGGCCTACCAATGGCGCCCTCCAACCACCTACAGAGATTTCTGTTGACCGCTATCTTGTCAAATCAATCGTGAAGCCTTAGATGTCTATCTAAATCTATTATACGCCACATAGCGGGGGCGAATCAACGAGTTCTGAGTCAGAGACCTTATGGTCGCTAGAACGATACGCCAGGTATAGAAAGTAGGCCTAGTCTACCTGATCCTTTGAGATGGTTTACTCTCTCTGGTGCTTAAAAAAAGGAAAGAAAGAAAGCCGTACCCAAATATTATAATGATAAACTTTTGTGGATCTCGACACCAGCACTGACTGATAAATATACGTAACATGATTAGTAACAAGTAAACACCCGTTTCGTTTCCTTTCTCACGTAGACATGAGTTAATAAAAAAATCTTTAGTTTTAGTAAGTCTTGCGACACTTGCAAGACACATTGGTCATAGTCATAGTCATAGGGCCTATAATTATGATATGTGTAAGTGCTGAAGATTAGAGATGTTACTAGTATTTGCAGAGAGTAACTTAAAAAGAAAAGGAGGAGATTTTTTTGGCAATATTCGAAAGGAAAGAAAGAGCAAACCATACCAGAGCACCCATCAACCATCAAGGAACAATTTTTACCCCTTATTCCCTTCAGACAAGACGCGTCGGTTCCTTAAAAATAGAGTCAGAGCCACATAATTGTAAAGCTGCCCAGCCGATATTTTTGGGACGTTTGTTGTTGTTGTTGTTGTTGTTGTTGTGTGTGTGAGGTAGCCTATCTGTTCGAAATGTTTGGAGCCTCGAAGAGCGTGCTTTTCGCCAGGGCCACCGCCTCACTTGGGTAGCAAGTGAGGCAGCCTTACTCCCCACATGGAAATCGAACTCCGGTCTACATGCCACTGCGAAGAGCCTTGCAGTTACACCACAAACGTGGGAGTAGAGTATTTGTACCGAAGACACCCAGCCGTACATATCTGCAGGGTCCTGCAACATGATGCATTTGTCATCTCAAACTCAAAGCATATTAAAAAGTGTGGATAAAAATCAAGACCTGGCTGACGTCCAAGTAAAACGGACTGGGTTTAAAAAACAGCGGTAAGATTGAGGTAGTTATGATATCTTTTGTAACCAAAAGTCTTTGGCGACACTATTTGTACGGACTGGTGATAATAGTGTTGTTTGAAATGAGAAAGTGGTTTTTGCAACAAAGATAAACAGTTTGGGAGTTACATTTTGATTACGCACTGTCTATGCACTATAGGCGTCCGCGTTTAAAAATGGTCTAAATTATGAAAACCTACATGTTTAAATTTTCTTTTTCCCGCAAATTTGATTCTTCTTCCAATAATTAATAAGACGTGTGATTACCAGCCAGAGTGATCGTTATTTTGTGCGAGTGTTCTGGTTATTTGCGTTGAGAGGCTTGCTCCACAAGTGCAAGGTCGGTTTTTTTCATAGTCGGGTTGTAAAAAAAAAGCTTTATTCTATGCCCTTAAAAATTAATACTTGTAATGGATCTGCTATTCCCATGATACAAATGCCGTCTTTTTATTTGCACGTAAAGCGCTTCGTCGTCGCAAACAAAAAAAAACAAACCTCAATTCGATTCCCGTATGGGGAGAAATTTTTACATGTACTGAGAACCTCCGTCTTTCTGGTGGGGAGTTGTGACACGCTGGTGATTTGATTTGATGATTTGACCTAGTGATTTGAGGCTTGCGACTTGAGCCAGGGGTTTGTGAGCACGAGCGGGTTTGCTACCGGGGTATAGCTCTAAATAATGTAAGGCACTCCACCCGAATTTCCCACTTGGCTCGGTCCTTTCAGAGACATGCGTTAAACTCGGAGGTCCCGCCTCTTAAATAACATTATAGTGTTGATTGGGACGTTAAACCTATACCATTTTCACCAAAGTGATGAATAAGTATAAGTTGACTTCGGATGACTTGATTCCCCCCCCCCTCCCCGAAGACATCAACCCATCTGTCTGTAGTCGACTGTAATTACTAATTAATATATCTTACAATACATCTTATTATTACATACGTTATGGTAAGAACGGTAGCCTGGGCGGTCTTAAATCACTAAATTGTATCAGACAAGTGTCCACACTCACTGCTGCAATGTTCATTCCCCCCTTGATTTTTCTCTTTGACTCAAACTTTGAGCATTTTGTCCTGATCAGAGAAATAACCTAGCCCAAATGCATGCCATTTGAGAAAAATCAGGCACAAGAAAGGATATGATGGTAGGAAAATGGACAGTGTGATAAAAGACGCAGAGGAGTATGAAGACAAGTTCCTAGAAATGTTACTATATATAGCGTGGTCCAAAATTTGTGGTGTAACTTATTGTCAAAAATCTCCTTAACTATTGAACATAGATTCTCCAACGTTTGAACAATGACTTATATCAATTTGTCTGAACTGATGAATATCTTTTCAAACGCCTGTACATTGTATTCTAGAAAATTCCTTAATAAATAGTAAAAAAAATAATCCAAGTCAATGATTTCTATACACATTTATCATTTTAAAAGTTTACAGCTCAGGCAATATCGTTTTTAAAAGCAAGTCTGTAATTGTTTTCTAATCGTGACTTTATGCTATTGAAAGCATGTTTTGAGAACCTTTAGAGCAAAAAATGTGTTCACTATAAAATTAATTTCTTGTAACAAGTTTTGCCACTAAAAGGTGCCATTGGTCAGCTGTGGCATAGGCCATATAAGCATATATATATACAAAATGTGAGCAAGAAGCAGGACGTGCTGTGAACAATCCCATTTTCCGCATGAAGGAGATTTATAGTATTTCATATAAATTAACTTTTTAAATCTAGCCTCAAATTGTTGTGGAAAAATATGATTAAGTTAAGACAAATTGATATTAACTGCTGTGTAAAGTATGAGTGACGGTGATTCACTCATTTAATTTAAGAGATAGATCTATTTGAGGATAATTTGCGTCAGGAGTTTTTGACCGCACTATAGTGAACGAAATGTTGTTAAGCAAGCACTTATACATACATTAAGATTTTGAGCAATACAACTGAAAGATTTTTAAAAAAAACATAAACCGTTTACTGTGCCAGAAAACACCGTTGCAAATTCAATGTTCAGGTTAACAAAATGTTAAAACCATATTTTTAACAATAAACTGCAAGGCATTTTTGGTCTGTAGGTTGATTATCCTCGTCTGAACATTTAAGAAACAAAGTGAAAACCAGCAGGGAGGCTATAAAAAAATACTTTATTACTGCGACAAATAACATGAAGAAGCCCAGAACACAACATTGTTGTCACACAAAACCAAAAATTGATTCATTTCTATACACACGTTTTACTTAAGAGTTTTACTGCACTTGCAACACAATTATGTCAAATAAGTGCCAAAGAATAGCAGTGTTACTTGAAAGTAACATACAACTAAAAGAATGAGGTGAGGGAGATAAGGACGATAGATGTTATATAGGAAAAAAGGAGCAAACCATTCCCGAGCACTTGCAGACCACCCCGAGGAATTTTATGTAATTAGTACATGTATACTAACATTGGATAAATGAAAGCAAAGACCATTTTGTTAGCAAGCTGTTCAACTGTTCTAAGCCAACAGAGTAAAATTCTCCAGGAGAGAGAAAACACTATTTAATTCTTTAACAATTTTACCATGTAACATATCTTTTATTACTTTTTTTTCTTCAACATTTAGAATTTAAATTTTGACAAAATATTTCTTGACCACATGCAGCTAATATAAAAAAGTTATATTAATTAAGAAACAGCAACTTAAAAAAAAAAAAAGAGTAAATTTGGGGCTTTAGTACACCTGAACAGCTGGTTGATGATTTGTTGTGGATAGAGTGAAACTGTACCCCCAGGGCGGGACTGTCTTCCTCGCTTTCAAGGCAATCCCTCTGGAACAATAGACACAATTTACTTGTTTTGGTAAGAGTTTTGAGGTCATATAAGTGCCCAAGACTAGAGGTATGATAAGGGAGTAACAGAAATAAAAAAGGATGAAAGAATAAGGACAATAGACATTCGTTAGGAAAAAAGAAGCAAACCACCAACCACCCACTCAATTTACTAAACCTACAATAAATTCTGTGGCTTGTAAGTCTGATTTCAGTACATCATGTGTACAATTATTCTGAAATGCAAACTGGAGTTGACAAGCGAGCTTCTTTTGTTGTACATGTAAGTGCACAACTGCACCAAGACTTTAGTTCAAGACTGGCAACAATACAAAAAAGTACAATGGAAAGGTTCTCCTCGCCTGGAGCATATGTATAGGTTTAATGAATGCCTCTATCAACACTATTAGTTAATTAGATTAGTTAAGAGGTGAGAGCCTATGAATTTAACGTCCATCTCCGATAGGATTGAGATAAAAGGATGGAGAACCTTGAAAACTACACAAAACTGATTCAAGAACGTCCAGTCTGGAATTAAGAACCAGGGCCATCCGCTCCATAGTCCAGCATGATACCAACTGAGCTAATGGAGCGCCATTTACCCGCCCCGTTTAAATCTAGAAAGAAAAATCATCACGTAGATTGACCAAACCATCAATCTTTCTCACAACACCTGCACACAAGCTATTTCCGCTACAAGAAGCACTCCAACCCCGGCACAAGTACTACACAAGCTATGACCCCCCCCCCTCATTAATGCATAATGTATTATATAATAAATATGTAGATGACGAAACAAATTTGGTGAGCAGGAAAAAACAAGTGTGAAGTGAGCTGATAAAATGAGTTACTTCTCAGATTTTAGACCGATGGAAATAGAAACATCAAATTTATAGGTTGAAGTTTTACAATTTATCAGTATGAAGTGATAAAAGACATGATAAACTTGAAGAGAATGGCATTGGTTTAGAGTTTACAAATATGACCCTTGTGTTGATTTTTGGTTGATATCTCCATTTATGCATTGCGAGAAGTAACTCATTTTGTCAGCACACTTCACAAATCACAAGCAAAATAATGTGATGACAGTGAAGCAAGGACTGTATATAGCATTGGAAGGAACAGGCAACTAAGAAAAAGGTAGTGCAGTATGAAAAACCTTGTGTGACATATTCAGCAACTTACTTTCTGGGGATTAAATTGGACGCTGTGTGCTGGTAATGTCACTGAAGACTATTTTTAGTGTAGATAAAACAATCAGTGATTACAACTGGAGGGACTTAATCCTATCCCTATGTCTGGGGTCATTTTGTACCCCAGGGGTTGTATTCTTCACATTTTAGAATACTTCTAGAGCGAAGACCTCTTTGAAACTTTCAGTATTTCTCAAAAAATCATTTTTGACAGACTGCCATGCAAAGCGTATGGATCGGATTAATGAGTAAATTTCCTCTTAGGAAAGTGGGGGCACACAGTTCTCCAAGTCGTAGGGACACGATAGTAAAACACGATGCACAGAGAGGGTTAACTTGCTTCACCTGGTTGAGGGCAAATTCTTATTTTTACACACGGCATGAGGAAGTCAATCATCACCTCCTCCCTCGTTATTCAGTTACCCACACTTTTAAATTTCAGTGACCATTTCCAAGGAGAAATACCTCATTAAAAAGTGTTAACACGCAGCACATCGACAACAAGCCAACACATCATATCAATAACAAAAAGAAGGAAACTTATGAAGAGGGGCCAAGAAAAAAACAGGCTGTCACATTAATCTTACCCCCCCCCCCCCCCAAGTTTTCCATTTTATATAATTATAGATTGGCTTGTTTTTAACTTAATTTTTAAAAAATTAATAAATACAGTTCGTGAATCCCTCAGTTGGTTCTTTGCTTAATCAATTAATTTCACCGGGATATTCAGCAAGTACTGTTGAAAGTAAAGGGCAAGTGCCCTGTTTTGTAATATATATTTTTTTCTCAAGAAATGGACTTCTCCTGTTTCTTTACCCGCCTCTTCATAATATAGTAAAAAGAAAAAACTGCTGGAAACCTTCAAGTGGAAGCACAGCCACTCGCTAGTACTTAGACAAGTGATCAGAAACAAAGAGGCTATATGTACATGTACAGTAGAATGAAATGAGGACATCGCATGAAACCCTCACAAGTGGATCATGTATTGAAAAACAACAGACAAAGAAATAATAAGACCAAGACTCTTACCAATTCACACCAGTTTCCTATATATACATACGCCTATTACCACTATGAGATTTTCAAAGCATTGATTATCTCCCATTCAAAATTTACAGAGGTATGCTACTGTCTCTAAGATCAGGACATTTTTTTTTTTTTAACACACTGGCTTTTACAGACTTACAATGGTATAAATTGCTGTACATATTTACTGGCTTTTAAACATTTACAAAGGCTTTATTATCATCCACAAGAGAGCAATATCAAACAGTTTTTTGCCACCACTTACTTAGAGAAGAGTTCAAGTTTTACTTTCATTTAAACCGAAGCGCTATTTGAGAAAACAGAAATCAAACGCAGCAGATAACAATTACTATTCAGGGCATAATGTACTCAATTTGCGCATTTTTGGAACTCCTTATTGTTCTACAGCGGATGCACTTTGCCATATCAACAAACATTATACAGTAGAGCACGGCTATAGCAGGACATGTGGTTCTAGAAGAAAAATCCCGCTGTAGGCGAGTTCCGCTATAGGAATGCAAAGGGGAAATAACCTAGAAAAATGTTTAAATCTACATGATTACCACCCTTCCTCTTTAGTCTTCCTTTTCTTGTCAACTTCGTTGATTTTCTTGACCTTTAATTCGAGTGAGAAGTATTTCCTTTTGTCCTTGTTGGAAGCCATCTTTTCCTCAGTCTTGTTACTTGTGCTGTCTATCGTACTGGTAGGCCTGCTGTAGAACTGGTGAAGTGTATGCGTGTGTATGCTTATGAGCATCAACGATCGCAATTCAATGAATCATAAGCTTATCATACTGAGCGTCTAAGCTACGGCATATCACTTTTGGAGTGGCTCACGTAACGCGCCTCTCCGCACCATCACTCTCTGCCGCCTGTCCCACCTCACTCATCACTGGACTGGCCAAGCACAATGCTGCACCGCTGACTGCCTGTTCGGAGCCCGCCTACAGCCCCCCAACCCCATTCCCTCCAGCTAGAGCTCACCCCATCTCTCCCGCTGTATCCAAATTCGGGCTTTCCCTTGCCCTGCTAAACCCGAGCACAAGCAATTGAGAGTACATAGAAAAAAAAGGGAGATTCCGGTAAGGTCCCGCTGCTGGGATGGGTCCTGCTGTAGTCATGTTTTACTGTACATGTACTTGAGAGAACATGTAAAATGAATAATGAAGATGATCTTAATCTTATGTACAATTTTGTGTATAAATGAATTTGGTCGTTCTTCTGGGTCATGATTTCCTCATCGCCTGAAGGCAAAAAAGTTCATACAAGATTATACTATACACACAATCTACAACACTTGCACAAAATGCACAGATCTATACACAGTCGTTTATACTTGGAAGAAACTCATAATAGCAAGTATTCTCATTTGTTTTATAGGCTGACCATTAGAAAAATAAACAATTGTTTGTGAATAACTTTTGACAGAGAACACTTCCATATATTGATAATAAACATTTGCATTTAAGGAACAAAAAATAGTTTACATCCATTGCCTTATAAACAATATTTTCTCATTGTCTTAAATAAAGAATTATACATTTTGATTTTAGTTAATACACATACTTAACCGTTAAAAAAAAGGATAAGTGAACATTTCATGGTAACGAATCTTCTTTTGTTAATGTTGTCATAGAAATGGGTCAGACATTGCTATCTCTCAACACTACTTGTAAGGCAGAAAAACCTCCTTGGTCACATTGAGAAGAGCCCTTGGACATGACGCTGCAACTACGAAAAATTATAATACCAGGAAAGAAACACAGATCATTGTGCTTCTGAAATTTCGAAGTTCAACTATAAGGGAATCAAAACTTATTCCCAAAGAACAGCTTTATTTTTCAAATGGACAGCCTGCAGATTGAATTCATACGACAAATGTAAAATCTGTTCAGTTAAAATAATTTTGAGGCGCATTCATACAAGAGATAAAGAGGAATTCACATAAGGGATACAAATTTAATGCAGTAAAAATTATTTCACTGAAGGGCCACAGGACTTTAAAAAATGATGCATCTGCAAGCAGCAGTCCAAATAATGACTTTGAAACCATTGTGTCCTCTTCTATTCATCATAAAACAACCAGTAAACTTTCATTAATCATTTGACACATCATTAGCCATTACCTAATTTCATTGAAAGAAAAGTGCATCAGAACCATAATGGTCATTTAGAACTTGGAAGATGCAAAACTGACAAAAGGAAACGAATGATAGTGGCGCTCATCTAATAATACAAGCCCCTCTATTCAGTCGGAAAGCTTTCTGTCAAAACAATTTTTAGCGACACATTATTGTAAAAGATTAAACTTTTCAGGTTTTAAGGCCTAACAAAAAAGGTCTCTATTGCGCAGGATTAAACAAAATCACAAGAAATGTAAAATAATTTCAGTATTTTTTTTCAAAATGCGTGCAGCACAAGAGGCTGGGGAAAAAAAAGATACAGAGAAAACATCACACTCAGCTAGGCCAAATAACTGGCCATTTGGATTTGGAATTTACTACTATGGATACATCTAGGCTTTTGTGGGATTTTCTCTCCATCACGCCTCAGCTGCCTAAAGAGTCAAGCAGAATAACCCAGAAACAACCATTCCTTTATGTACCTCTTTATCTTTCTGCTCTTTAAACTCACAATATTCACCCAATCCTTTATCTCTTTATGACAGAGTCTACACATATATGCATACTTGCGCACTTCCAATTATCAATGGGCCTCCAAGTATTCTTCCTCTCTTTCAAAAACATGAAAACACTGAGACAGTATCCAAAAACAGTAATGTCTTGGCCCATCAACCATGTAAGAATACAAATATACATTCACACACAATAACTCAATAACTGATGTCAATAGCACACACGCACAAACACATGCCCATAATCATACAAACACATACACAGATCTCAACTTTGTAGGACTATTTGGCACATCTCAAGACTTCCACGTCCTTGTCAATGTAGTCTCTCCAAATTTTAAGGTTGATATCGATATAATGCTCTCTAAACCTCACAACTTTAAAATTCATATTATTATCAGAAGCCTCAAAATCTGAAGGTTAATATCTGTTCACTTTCCATTTCCAAACCTAAAAATCTCAAAGTCAAAACCACAAATATGTAATAAAAATCTCAGTGCCAATATTAGTACATCTTGTCAAGATTTCAATGAAAATATCAATACAGGCTCTTCATGACCGGAAAGCTGATATCAGTACTAACACATTCTCTGAATATCTTAGAGCAACCATTGCAACACTGTCTCCATACTTTCAAATTTGCTGATGTACTGTGAACAATTCCACACATAGCAGTTGTGGCAGTAGCTGGTCCAGTAAGGTCACGTTGAAGTCACATTGTCAAGGTCATTGTCACTTCACTCCATAAAGATGGTCACACTGTTGCGGCAGTGACACTCGAGAGCTTCCAGTATACCTCAGAGTACAAGCCAATATATAGCACAGAAGCACCCTCTTTCTAAACCTCAAGAGCGATATCAATTCTATCGAGGTCTTAAAGTCAATAGCACAACACTCTCTCTAGATTGCTCTAGAACTCAATACCAGTATTGACACGCTCTCTCTAGATATTAATGTTGGTGTCAACACAGCCTCTCAAGATCTCAATGTTAGCACCAATACAGTCTCTCTAGATCTCAATATATCTGTATCACTACTCTCTCTCTCTAGATCTCAGTGTGGAGGTCATTAAACTCTCTCGACCTCAATGGTGATGTAGATACACTCTCAATATTTTCACACCACCACTGCAGTTTATCATTATACTCACTTCAATGTCTGCATCAACACACTCTCTCTAGATCTCAATGTGGGTACCATTATACTCTCTCTAGATCTTAATATCAATTTTTGCACGCTCTCTTGACCTCAACCCCGACATAGATACGTTCTTAACATTTTCACACCATCATCGTCGTTACACCCTGAGAATCTCCATGCAATTGTTGTAGCAGATGCTTATCCAGTCGGGCTGCGTGGAGGACCACTGGATCTGGTTGATCTCCCCGCCGGCCGTGTATGCCAGGATCGGGTCCTCGATAGCTCGTGGCATTTGTTGGATGTCCCAAATCAGGGCCTGGTGGTCGTCCGCTTGAAGAAAGAGACGAGATTTTCATTTGTAAGAACCCAAATTTGTATGAGCTTCAAGCTTATGATGAAAACTTTTTTCCATTTCGGGAAAGAAGCAAAAGAAAATGATTTACGACTTCTACAGCTCCCAATTGTACTTTGATTGGTTGGAAAAAGATGTGGTTCTAGGACCTTAATACTTATAAATATAGATATCTATTTCCAATTATGGTAAATAATAGCTCAGATTAGAAGGAAAAAGACACTTGTTTTAATTTCGACAGTGAATTTGTACTTAATAACTATATGCCCTTACAGGAATCACATGTGGAGGTCTACTATCGAGGTATGATGATAGTAGTGATAATTAGAGCCAGTGCTAGGAGTAGAAAAACCGGCAAAAGTGGTCAATATTTCCTTCTAGATGCCTGGTGCATTGGGACTCAGGTTCTGTGAGTTATAAAGTAGAAAGAGGAGGCAGAGCACACTAAAATCTTGCATTGACCATGTCATGATGCATCATTCCCAGCAAAGAAAACTTACCGGCAGTGCAGATGTGGCAGCTGGAATGAGGGGCCCAACCAATCCCATTGACACATGCCCGGTGGTTGCTGAGGCGTGCTACAGGCGTGCAGGGAACACGTACGTCCAGGATGATAACCTAGGAGGCAGAGAACAAGACAACTGTCAAGGCACAAGAAATGGAAAACGCAAATGAACAGCATCAGAAAGGTAGCATTTGGATGTGAGATCAAGGAAAGAAGATGGCAATAGATGGAGATAGCACATGTTTAGGAAGCCAGCACAGAAATGTGACAAGACAAAGTCTAATGCAGAATCCTAAAGGGAGGAAGACGAGGGGAATGCTGAGTTCCACCTGGGAATGAGATTCGGAATGAGATCTAGAGGCAGATCTCAGGCATATGGGGCACAGATGGCTGGATGTAGAGTAGATGATCCAGAACAGAGACCTTCTTTGTGGTAAATATCCATGACCAGGGCAAAAGAAGCGGATGATGATGATGATGATGATGATGATGATATTCCCCTCTAAAGTAGTACATGTAGTATATGAGTGGTTAGAAAGCCACACTAGTAGAGCCCACTTGTCTACTTTCCCTCTGTTATTCCCTTCAGCTTGTGTTGCCTTCCCCACTGCTAAATGGCCAACATTGCGTCAAATAGCTTGCTTCTTTTTCAGTAAAACCAGCTCAATAAGTAGAGACAAAATCTGCAGTAACCTCAAGGGCGTCCAGAGCCATAGTGGCCAAGTAGTTGGGGTCCTGCTTGTTCCAGGCGAGTCTCAGCAGTGGCACATGCTGCTGATCTTCGTAGATGATAGTTGAGTGCTCCAGATGCCGCAAGTCAAACATACGTACTGAGCCGTCCGCACCTGTCATGGATGGGAGAGGTCAGAGGTCAATATAACATTCAGAGAAGGAAAATAGAATACAGTCAAAGCCATTCTTTCCACGTTTCTAGTTATGTTGCTATGGTAAAAATGCCCATTGCTAGTTTCAATATTGCAGAGTTTTGTTTCTTGCATTGAGAACCCAACCATGAACTCTTTTTATCCTCGCCGTACCTCCACGGATTCTGTACCCGTCCTGGGGCCGCCGCGCCGTATGAGTCGGAAGTCAGTGTGTATTATTCAAAGTGCTATATTTTTTACTTTTCCTCTAAGGTTTTAAGGAAATTTGGCAGTTATGTTAGAAATTGAATGTAGTTTTTGTAAATGTATGTAGTTAGGAAATATACCAATAGCACAATGTAGATTTTGAGGTATATTCAACCCTCGAACTTCACCCTGATTGCCGCGCCCACGACGTCCCATTTGATTTTATAGATCTAGATCTAGCCCTAACCATCGAACACGAATTCCAGTACTGACCCCTTCACCATGATCTAAATCGCTATTAGATGAGTCTAAGTCATGTTTCTTATCATCCACAACGGAATTTACGGCACTTATTTCAGAGTCACTATCATCAAATTAGTATCATACCCCCTCACAACCCAGCGCAACTTCAAAAAGTACTTCGTCGGTCGTGAATGTGCGTATTCGAGACATCTTTCAAGCTTCTACACCCATCAAAAACAAAGAAACCACTGTTCATTGGAAAATTAAAATATTCAGACAGAGCTAGCATCGCCGTGTTTGCGTATTTTGGTAATGACAAGCAGAACTAGCTTCTTTGACGAGACCGTATCGCTGTTCTGAGAATACTCGTAGCCCGGACTGGTCCGAGTATGCTCGTAGCCCGGATAAAAAGAGTTAAGGCATTAAAAAATGTTTTACCTTGAGTTAGGTCCTGAAGTTGACTTTTAAGTACCGGTAAGCAATGTTTTTTAAGGTTTTCTCAAAACAAAACAAAACTGACTCGACCAATTGTGTTCATTATGACCATGACAAATGTTGTTGATAAGTGCAGTTCACGCTTAAAGAAGTACAAGGAGCAGGCAACATTAGAAGACCTACTAACTATCTGCTGTGGCAAATGAATATGTGTACATGCAAGCACAGAAAATCAAAGGAATTAACACACACATATAATACCATACAGTTGAGCATCTTACATATTTAAAGTGACAGGATTTTCTAGTTACATTTATTTAAGGTTCACTGTGAACTTTTAAAAGCAAATACGACCTCCCCTTCTTCAGAACCTTGTGAAATCAAACATCTAACTCGACTTAATTCGCTCTTTTTTTATGGTAAGTGTTTTACGACCCTCACAACTAAAGAGGTCATATGAGCGCGTGGGACACACCGAACATTTTCAGTTGGTAAGAAATTTTGAATTTTGCTCCGGTGGTGACCGAAGCCTACTCTTATCGATTTTAGACCACCCAGGGATCTTTAACCTACGCAACTTGCATACGGCTTAATTCGCTGGACATGAAGTTAATAATTTTATTAATACAGTCAAACCTGTGTAAGATGGCTACCCATTGTCAAGGAGAAAAGTGGCCGTATAAGACAGGTGGCCATCTTAGGCAGGACTGATCAAGATGAAGAAAACAAACCATTTCCATCTTAAGTCCCAATCGAAAGTAGCCGCATTGTTTCTTGTTTTTGTTGTTGTTGGTTTGTATTTTGTTTGTTATTTTTATTTCGTTGCTGATTTTGCGCAAGAGTGACAATAAAACGAAATGTATCAGACGAGGAAGACCGAGTACCATATTAAAACAAACACATGGGTCGCCACCACTCGGAGAACGAGTGACGCGTTCATGTTGACGTCCATTGTTTCTTTGTTACAGACTGGGTAAACAGTGACCACTCATCTCACTTACGATGTGTGTATGAGTTCTGGGCGGGGCTTATGGGTTATGAGGGATCACATCATGCTTACCTCACCAGCAACTGAAAATTGGTATACCTATTGGTCAACAGTGGGAGGGGCCTACCCAACATGATTGGTTGGAGGGACAAGTTCACAACGACAGGTGAGTGAATTATGACGGCTGGCCCACAACGCCAGGGGCCAAAGCACAATTTGTGACAAAACGTAATGGAGTCACTGAGGTGGCCGTCTAAGACAGGCGTTATTGCTTAGTGTGATAGGGGTTGTGTGTTAAAATATGGTGGCCGTGGCCGCGTTCGACAGGTGCCCGTTTTACACAGTTAAATTATATAGAAAAAACGCAAGGGGGGAAATGAAAAGTATATATATATATATATATATATATATATATATATATATATATATATATATATATATATATAAAATATATAAAATGATGAAACAATAACAAGAACCATCCTTACCCCCCTTCCCCCTGGCTGCCACTCAAAAAAAAAAACTGTGAAAAAATACATCAAAGTTGTTAGCAACTTTTCATCTGTCGAGGTATACATCACAATAAAATTGTTTAAAAGTCTGCTATAATACTCCCTTGAAAAACTTTGCAGATGCTTTTTTTCTCCTCACTAAACAGTACTAGTGTGAAATACATGCAGATGGCAGACATACCAACACTTGCAAACATGTCGCGGCCACCCCCGGCACGGCTGAAGGCAATGTCGTAGACTTCCTTGTCGTGGGCTATGAGCTGAGTCTTCACGTGGCCTGAGACCATGTTCACCCTGCCCAGAACTTGACCAGTCTGCACGGAACCCAACATGCAAGAGAACATCAGAAAGTTTTATTTTACGTATGGAGTTTGAGTATTGAGTTAAGAGCCATACAGTTGAAATTGTCCAAGATGGGCACTCATTGTTGAGGAGAAAAGTATTTGTCTTAGAAAGGTTTGTCTCTTGGACAAGTCATTATAATACAGAAAAGAAAGACAAGGGAGTGGGGGGGGGGAGAGGAGGTGGAGGAGTGGGAAGTGGTTGTTAAGCAGGTGATTGTTTTGGATAGGTGGCTCTAAGAAGAGCAGGTTCGACTGTATTATTATACAATAACATTTATTTAGGGCAGGGAAATAGTAAGACAGACAAAGATTTACAGAAAAAAAAACAAAGGGAAAGAAAAGATGTTGTTGCCGCGTGCCAACTCTGCCGTAAAGATTTCTTACAGCTCACTACATGACAAACAATACATAATAAATGAGTTGATGGCATACATAATTAGCTACTCTCATAACTGATGACCCCATACAAAACAACATAGCTCTAAAATTAAAAGTTAAAATTTTTTTAAGTAGGTGTTTTTAGTCCCCATCGAACGTAGTTCTGAGAGTCAATGGCACTGATAACATACAATCATACAACAACACCTTTAATAAAACTCATGGCTCCAACTCACACGAGGAACTGAAGAAATACTTTTCAACAAAGATAGATAAAAACAAAGCCACATGAGAATAATAATCAAAAAGTGATGGGGAGCTGTCAGAGATCCTTACTTAACGATGAGAACATTTGATACTGTCAGTGCAGGAAAGAGATTGAATTAAAAGGAGAAGCTGGTGAACACAAAAAAGTAACACAAGTGACAAAAGTACATGACTATCCCACAGGCAGTCACAAGGAAAAAGCCATGGCTAGCTAGGAGTGAGATAACTGATGCTTTAACGCACAGTTGGGAACTCGTTAGTGTACAGATGACATGTCTGCCTTTCTTGCCAGAGTACCTTGTTTGATTTTTCCAGGTAATGAAAATGAGAGCACAATCAGTTGATAATCATGGAATTTTCTTCAACTTCTTCCAAGGCTCAATCACATAGGGGGTGGGATTGAGTATCTAGTCTTTTTGAATAGGGGAGAAAAACTTGAAAGTTACATTCCCACATAGCTAATGAAAAAGACGTCTTTAACACTTTGCACCCTGTTCCTGACTCACACCTACCAAATGTTAATCACTTGCAGTTTAGAGCAGGAAGCAAACTATTAAGTATATGAGCATTAAATTCAAAGAAGAACAGGCTTTGCTTGGCCAGCTGCCTGAGGAAAATTTAAAATTGAGCCCTATTCAAAACTGGAAAAAAACAAACTAGTTTTTATAAATAATGAAGAGTATTTCTGAAACCAGTACGTGGCTGGTCGAACGGTGAGGGAGGCCATCTACATAAATATCAGTTTCAGAGAGAATTGAGGAATCTGCAGTCAACGATAGCAGCGGAACGCAGATGACAGCCAGGAATAAGAACATTTTTTTTTAGCTAAACGGGGCACAAGGTGATAAAATGAGACAACACTGGAAAGCTTAGAATTATGAGGAGACCCATGAAAACAGCACCACTAGCAGTACAAAAAGGAACTAGCGGCTTTGTGGAAGATCTCGATTGTCGACACATTGGCACATAACAAACGAGTGATCTAATATTCGTACCTCCAAACCCCATATGGTGCAAGTTGTGTCAATGCTGGAGGTGCCTAACAGGTTTGGGTCCACTTCATTCCAGTCAAATGATGTTAATGGAGCACAGAAGTCTGAATTTTTATTCTGGGAGGGGGAAAACATTATAAAGGCACATTAGTTTCAAATTCATACATGTAGCATTCAAAATGAATTTTCATCCAACAATATCTGGATCTATTTCAACAGGAAATGAAAGCATAAGATCTATAAATACCCTCAAAACTGATAAAAGTCCATAAAAACATTCCAGCCTTACACTTCTACATCATTTGCACACCAAAGGACATCTTTCATCAGATATTAATTGAACTTTCTCTCAGTTTGAGTAAAGATTTTAATAAACACAATAATGGTAATTTGGTGTTGAGAAAAAGCAAGATGGGCAGATACATATTAAACAGAGGAGTAAAAAAAATATAGAACAAACCTAAAGGGTCCTCTAACCAAGGGCTCAAGCATTCTTACTTCAGGGTATCCCTTTCATAAATCTAATAACAATTATCTTTTTCTCTGACCCCTTCCTGACACATATTTTTTTTCAACTTTTACTGCACCAAGTTTTTGTCAGCTACGACGGAACAGTTTTTTGACATCATTTAGTGGTACCCTTCAAAATGGAAGATTTTTAAGCGAGTCTAACATGGGCAGTTTTTCAGATTTTCAATCTTTCCTCGGTTTTCTGGAAAAATTCTGATTAAAGCTGCCCAAATCAACTGATTTTAGGACATACATTGCAAAAAAGGACAGCACACCGGCTCACGATGTTCAATCTATGATGTCCAGGAGATGTCACAAAGCGGTTCCTCATGCCCCCCATTCTATTGTACTTCCTGTGATTTTTTCCATTAAAAGTTTGTGCAATCTATGGTCTTGTTCCTAATAGGACATTATATTATTTACACATGACAGAAAACAAAACTGCTCAACCTACAGTCTTATATAATTGTGATCTCCTTTATCAATAATGAAATAAGGGAATATGCTGCTGATATTTCCATCTTGAAATGAGGACCTTTCATACTTCGCTTAACTTTGAAATTATATATTTGGTGGTATAGAGATTGAGAAAGAAGATTGAAAACTCACTTTTTTTACAGTACTTAGCCGACAGAGGCAAATGATGGTAGTAAAATGACGAAAATTCATCAATTGAGAAGTTCATTGCTCAATTAACTGTACACCAATCTTCTTCAAATTTCGCGAGGATATAAAACAAATTAAGACCTAAATCCACATAATATGGACTTTCAATTAAAGCAATTTCAAGGATTTTACGCCTTCTACACTAAAGCAATGACAATTTAAGGGGGTAGGGCTGTTAAAAAATCTTTTTCTTAAAAAATGCTGTACAAATCAAATTTTCCTTTTGTATGAAAGTGCACAATATCATAATAGACCGGTGCACAAAGGTTCATCAAATTTGGTTCCCAAATAATTGAGTAATACAAATTTTTGTGGGAAAAAAATGTTACACCAGTTATTGCAAATGGTCATAGAAACGAACATAAAAGCTGGAAAAGTCTGGTGCTGACTCAGTGTCACTGGAAAACTAAAAATTATTTTTATAACCCAATTACGAGAAGTCATCCGTGTTATTCAGTCAACTTACAAAACTTTGATTTAGAGTTTTAAGAAAAGTAAGGAATTCTGGAGTGTAGCAGATACTGTTCGTGTATTACATTGTAGATGTATTCTGGCACTAAAATCGATTTGTAATTTTTCATAGAGAGACTTCAGGGTAATTATTATAAACTTTTGAGAAAATATGTGAATATTCATGATTATAATTACTTCATTGCGAATGGTGTGCCAGATGGATAAGGTGAAAAAATTACAGCTTTTTATTATATGCGCAGACACCATCTTTTCTTCGTGCCTGCACCAATGTTTTTTCGTTCTTGTTCCAAAAGTTTGACAGTTTTTGTTTTTTTGGTAAGCGGTTTACGGCGCTTGCAACTGCACAAGATCATATGAGCGCGCAGGACACACCAAACGTTTTCAATATGAAGGAAATTTTGAATTTTGCCCGGGTGGCGGCCGAAGCATACTCTTATCAATTTTAGACCACCAAGGTATCTTTAATGAGCGCGACTTGCATACGGGACCTCCGAGATTTTTCACCTTTGTCCAAGAAGGCTAGGTGTAGATCTTTCCTACCAGAAGATTAGGGGTGTGGCGGAAAGACAGCAATAAGAAGGAGCCAGGGAGTAGCAGTAGAAAGGCTGCAGAAAGAGTCAGGAGCCCAAAGGAGGGGGCAAAGGAGGTGAGGGGGTGGGGGCAGAAAGTGGAGACGAAAGTAGATGACAGAACATTGCCAGACAGCAGGAAAGGAGGTGAAAGGAGACAATTTTAGAGAAGAACATTTTTCTGTCTCTTTTCGGATTTGAACCAGGGACCCTTGAATGAGAGGCGAACACCATAACCTCTAGGCCATGGGAGCCCCCGACAGTTTTTGTGGTGCCGTTTTATATTGATGTTTTTTCATTCACACTTGCCCCAAAATTTTTACAATTTACCATTACCGACTTCAGCACGCCTAGCGAAATAACAAGACAAGTTACAATGTCCATTCTTTTTTTAGCCTAAAGAGCAGAAATGCTTGCTTGGGATCCTTTAAATGATAATTACCATAAATACAAGGATACAAGTAAAACTGTATGTTGAAAAGTAACAAAAGTTAAGTCAGCCCAGACAGAGCGGCGACAGGGAGCTGACCCCCGCATCCCCGAAGTGATAAAGCGCTCGGAGGGGAACGCTTCGTTGCAACTCAAATTCCACTGCCGTGACATACAAGTATTACCAGGCTTCCACTATGTCACTCACATTGTTGAGCAAACATTCTAGCCGTGTCTCTGTGTCGTGTACTCTCCAAACCCTCAGGTAGTCACCAGATGTTGCCAACAAATCAGGAAACACTCCTTTCTGTAAGGCAGTGATATTCATCCATTAACAAAAGACATTATAAAATGTATTCCCATTTGCTACCTAGAAGATTCTTTAGATTCATTTAAATAAAAACAAAACATCCTAACTGATACATGTTCAAAAATTTTAAAAACCAACAACAGATGCAGAAGCAACCCTCACCAGGAAACACCATTCAGTAGCAGATACTTACAATATTAATAAAACACATTACTAAGCATACTTTATAAAGAAAAACATCATTGTTTCATTTATATGATCTATTAAACCTAATTTAAGTTGCATATTTCATGGGGTCACATCACTTACAGAATCTGGAATCCACATTATCTTTGTGGTGGGGTATGGGTGATCAAATGTGCTCTTTGCCGAAAAATCTGAAGTTTCCTCGTCAAGACTGACAATCTGAACCTGGAATATAAATTTAAAATGACAAAGGTGAGAAATGGAGTTTTAGATACAGTAAAACATCTACACAATAGCAGCCTCCCTCCCCAAACAAAAAAAAGCAACTTTCAGTTCAGAATTTACCAATCTTCCTGATAGTGATAGCCTTGATCTCTACTAACTTTCTATGAAAGCCAGCTCTATTCCGCCTCAAGTCCGAATATGGGTTTTATCTATTCAGACTCGGGTAAAAAAAAAAAAGTTTTATTTATTCGGACTCAGCTTCTAAGTGAGTTTCATGTGATTGTAAGGAGGTTACAAAATATAACTATTGTCAGTGAATATGTTACGTTTTAGTTTTAGCAAGAATACCTAGAATCCTACTAGGACTGTGTAATTGTGTCAAAAGTCAAAAGACAGCACTCTCATTGCCCAATGGCAGTGTCTAAGTACACAATAACCGACAACTCAGGGTCTTTCCACCACCACTACATATCATCATAGACTTTATTTCCACTACCATGTCTTTCCACAAGTGTAATTTCATTTAGTTGAGTGTTATATAGCAATGCCAATCGGGCTTTCCCGCGAGGCGAAAATTTGGTCCCCGTTTACGGGCGATTTTGCTGACCCAGCCGAAGCGTAGGTGACTAACTTTGTCAACCTCGGTCTGTTCTATTTCCGAACCAATCCGAATGAAACTTGGCAACCAATCAGAAAATAGGGCAAACTAATGAGTGGACGTTGAAGTTCGTACACATAAATTAACCTATACTTTTGGTGTCGGGAACACTTTCGTATCGTGTACACCGAAAACTATAAGGAGTTTGAATTTCAACGCCGAGCTGGTAATAGATCTATCTATCCTCTATAGTGTGCTCAAATTTGAACGTTCTGTGTCAAGTAGTTGTTTAGACCCGATCATAAATGCACGACTACCCCCCTATCCAAAGCGGCTTCGCACGGAGACCGGCCATTTTCCCCTCACTCTCGTGGCAAATGTATGTGACCTACAAATCCCCGCATGACTATTTCGGGCCCGTTCATTGGTCACTTGAAATAGGGCAATGGCGGGCGCGCGCATCCGGTTGTTTTTCTCTCTATTCCCCTGTAACATCGCAATGGGGGTATTCCGAGGCGAGGTTATCTCGTCTCGGGGTGTTCACGTCTCAACGGGGAAAAAGAATTTTCAATTGTACGGCATGCTATCTAGAGTGAATTATCTTTTACTGTTGGCATGGTCTAAAGTCATCATAAAAAGCTTTGCAATTATTTAGTCACGCTGCCGACATATATTCTTAAAGATCCCATGTTGTGATACGATGCTATAAATAAAATGGACTCATCCCGACACCCCTTTTTAGCAAAATCGTTAATATGTACACCACAATTTTAATTATAACAAAATAACTACGAAATTGGTAGTAAATCTCACTGCAGAAATGATTTCTACACTCAAAAACACATCGGGTAGCCAAGTTTCTCTCGAACACTCCGATTAGTTACCGAGATATATCGTCGTTTTTCTTACAGAATCTGCTACTGCGTGGTCCACTTTTTAGGAGTATTTTCCTATATGTGGGTCATCCATATTTTGCCGACCTTTACAACCCCATAACTTTTTTATTTACGAACCGATTCTCAAAATTCAAGAAGTATAATTCTTAGAATTGAAAATTCTTTCTTAGGTACCAAAAAAAAAGGGGCAAAAGTTTAATTTTAAATTTTCATTGGCATTGCTAGCGTTATAGTTTTGAAAGTGGCTATTCTCACCCGCCCAGAAGTTCTCGCAAGATCAACTCCTCCCCTCTTCTCTCTCTCTCTGTCTCTTTCTGAATACTGTCTATCGGTGTGGACGATCAAATTGACCAAAACAAAGTTAAAAACTGATGTTAAAACACAAAAGTAAATTAATTTGGTGGTCTACAAAGATGCTACGGCTATTTAACTTTTCGAATCGAGCCGAACTACGCGGGTCGCCATTTTGTTTTGCCCAGAAATTCTCGCGCTACTCCTCTCTCTCTTTCTCTCTCTCTCTCCACTGCCCAGGGACAAAATTGTACGCTTTTAGTAGGCTACAGTTGTAATGGAACGTTTGTTCACGGCACAGAATTCTACAATTTTTCTGTTATCACAGTGTAGAATTCTGTGGTTTAGGGTGAACGCAAAATTTGGTGAACGCGCACCGGGTGAGAATAGCCACAAGACTCGCCTGCATTATTCTCACTCCGGGTGAGAATAGAGGTGGCCTATAGTTTAAAAAAAATTAATCTTTCTTTTTATTTATCACATCGCACAAAACCAACAGCCGTGACCTCTTCATCTTCCCAACACCTCTTCCCCCAGCAAGCCCAGAGTGCGTGATCGCTACGCGCAGTCTCATTGGTCGAACTGATTAACTTTGTCCTCTGCGAGGTCAACTCAACTTGGTTGTTCTGTTCATACTAATATACTAGAAGAAGGGAGTGCCAGTTTAGATAGATCTAGTAACTGGAGATTAAAGCTCACGTCTCGATTGTTAGGCCTATCATTATAAATCAACAATTTTTCATAAATTTTGGAAACATTAGGAACAAGGGTCGGAAGACAGAACGGACTGGACCTCATTTTGGACTCAATGCAGAGTCCGAATATAATTTTTGTCTATTCAGACTCGAGTCCGAACAGTCAGATCGTTAGTTCTATGAACAAAACCCCACTCACCTTATTATTGTACTCCTCTACAAAGCTGCCAAGGGCCAACCTGAAGCGCTTGTCAGGTCGGATGCTCCAGTTCATGCTGTAAACAGTCCATGGAGCTTCATACTTGTAGATTTCTTTACGTTTCCCCGGGGGCACAGGAGGCATTGCCATCTTGGTAGCTGTTATCTCTACCTTGCCCTAGCCTAGGCGCCCAAGCCGGCCCTCCACCAAGACAAGATCAAGATCTAAGGCTGGAATTAAGACAAGAGGCCTACTTGACAGACCACAAGTAGATCTAGATATCTAATCTAGATCTAGTATTTAGATCTAGCATTCACTTGTCTTCGCTTTAAGTTATTTATAGCAACTCTCTAAGAGACAGACCTTCTTGTCACCAGTCTTGTATAGAGTCCGACAGCCAGAAGACCTGAGATTTTACAAAGAAGTAGAAGAGCTCAATTTTCCACCAACAATGCCAACATTCTAAAAGACTAAAAGAAGTAGTAAAGTCTGTCAAGTCTCTAGACTTCGCTTTCTTTCGTATCAAGATCAACTGTCGATACAGTCTAAAGAGCTAAAAGATGGAGGTAGCCAAGATGGACAAAAGAAAACTAAAACTAGACGAAGAGTCTAGATCTAGATTATCTAGATCTAATTCTAGTTCACTTGTTCACATAAAACATCACATCAAAGACCCAACATCAGAAACCATTGTTTAGAATCCTTTGTACAAACAAAATTACTTCCTGCTTTTTTTTACAAGTCGTAAAATTTGGATGCGAAGTTCCGTGCACGGTAAATACATGCCGGTCCCGTGTATTTGGTGAATGATAAACCAGGATCAAAATAACATTTTTGCATCAGGCGACTAGAAAAAATTTGAGTAAAAATTATTGGGAAAAACAAAACTAACAACAAATTGTATTTTGAACAATATCATAAAATAAATTGTAACTGCTTTCGATTTCTTTGTCCAATCTTTTTCAGTTAGCGTCAGAATACTTTCTTCTTAATGCTTAATGTTGAAAACCTACTCATATGTCAAACTCAAATCTGCCGTACTTATAATATATTTCTGTTGTGATATTGTTTTGGATAAGATTATTGCTTCCCCAAGTCTGATTGTTACTTTAGATTGTAATAAATGTAATGAAGAAAATGCTAAATAGGTATTTGCTCGTGAGACAATCTTTTTGTACGGAGGCGGAGGAGCCGATAGCCTAAAGTAGTTTACCTATTGGGCGCTTGTAAAAGTGGGATTAATTTTTTTAGTTTTTCTTTCTTATCCTTATCAAAATTTGGGTTTGATAACTTACATTTTATTAAAGGCTTGTTGGAATGATACTTTTTGCCTATTAAAGACGTTACTTTTAATTCTTGAACTCTGGAATTGTAAAAAAAAACAAACAAATTTATTGTTTGTAATAAAACTGTGGAATATCTGGCAAAACATTGTATGCAGCAAGGGAGGTCATTCAAACCAAGCTTAGGCGTATCTGCTTGCACTTCCGTACTTCCGTTTGTAAAAACTGTAAACCAAGATGTGTGCTTGACAAGATAGAGCGTAGTGTAAAGTACGACATTGAAACGTTGAACTGTTCTTTGGTCACAAATTTGGGATTTTTAACCTCCTCCTTGGTATGTCAATTAAGTATAGATCTAATAATAATAATAAATAGCATTTATACTGCGCATTTCCATTTCCTAAAAGATGCTCAATGCGCATTACAATGAAAAAGACATCACATCTTAAAAATTAATCGACACAAATGTGTAGATCTAGAATCTACGTAAAACAAAGTATTATACATATAATATAAATGCATATGTGTAAAATTTTATACCAGAAAAACAGTCTCGTAGTGAGGTTGAAAATGTGTTCACTAAAAATATACAATGCATTATAAATTCACGAACAGTCAAAATACAGTTGAAACGTGAGTAACTAGGTTACTAGGACTAGATCTAGATTTAGATATAGATCTAGAAACATTCATTAAAACATTAATTCTATACAGATAGAAAAACATTTCCACTCTATCTCTCTCTCTCTCTCTCTCTCTCTCTCTCTCTCTCTCTCTCTCTCTCTCTCTCTGTCTGTCTCTCTCTCTCTCCCTCTCTCTCTCTCTCTCTCCCTCTCCCTCTATCTCTCTCTTTCTCTCTCCCTCTCTCGCTATCTCTCTCTTTTCTCTCTCTTTTCTCTCTCTATCTCTCTCTTTTTCTCTCTCTCATTCTCAATCGCTATTTCTTCAGTCTCACAGTCTGGCATACACATGCATATATATCACAGTACATCATTAAATGACAGGTATGCTTTTGTGAATAAAAAATGCTAGATCTAGATCTAGATCTAGAATCTAGATTAGATTCTAGGGGAAGATTGTGAAGAGTACCGGACCACTCTTATGGCCGTCGAGTCCGAATAGCCCTAACATTTTTTCATATTCGGACTCGAGTCCGAATAAAAAAATTTCTTATTCGGATTCGAGTCCGAATATGATAAGGCCACCTCTATTCTCACCCGGGGTGAGAAGAGTGCAGGCGAGTCTTTTGGCTATTCTCACCCGGTGCGCGTTCACCGTTATAGCCTAGATCTAGGCCAACAAATTTTGCGTTCACCCTAAACCACAGAATTCTACACTGTGATAACAGAAAAATTGTAGAAATCTGTGCCGTGAACAAACGTTCCATTACAACTGTAGCCTACTAAAAGCGTACAATTTTGTCTGTGGGCAGTGGAGAGAGAGAGGAGTAGCGCAAGAACAAAATGGCGACCCGCGTAGTTCGGCTCGATTCGAAAAGTTAAATAGCCGTAGCATCTTTGTAGACAACCAAATTAATTTACTTTTGTGTTTTAACATCATTTTTTAACTTTGTTTTGGTCAATTTGATCGTCCACACCGATAGACAGTATTCAGAAAGAGAGAGAGAGAAGAGGGGAGGAGTAGATCTTGCAAGAACTTCCGGGCGGGTGAGAATAGCCACTTTCATATGATAAAATGTTTTTCGGACACGGGTCCGGGAAAAACGAAGTGTCTTCGTTCTATAGATCTAACGTTCAATGCTTCCAATTATCCGCCATTTTTTGGTTTCCCCCACACTTTATCTGCCTCTCCGATGCCCACCTCCTCATTGATACGCCCCCACCCCCCATGTTTCCCACTTTTTTGTTGTAGAAAAAGGTAAAATTGAAGATTGGCAGACCACCTGGCACCTGCATATTATGAGCTGTGTAAAAAAAAAAGACCGATTCATTCAAATACACAAGCACAAGCCTGTGTCATCTCGATTGTTTACCAAGAAAAAGTTGTGTTGCTGTGTAGAGCTGAGCATACGAGCAATTGCCAAAACGTGAGACTCAGTGGTGCAAAATTTATTTTCTTACCAATTTGACTCTCTTTTCTGTCAGTCACAGATTGACATTTAGTGCTCATGCCTAGAGTATCAGAGCAAGGAAATGTACGGTTTTGGAGATATAGGTCTATTGGTTTGGCAACCACTGTATTTCTTGTATGTAACAATGATGACAAGAACAGATAAGCAGCAAGGCAAATTATGGACTTTAAATTCCATTTGTTTAGTAAACAAAGACTTTGTACACTATGAACTCCATTCATAATGGTAATATAATGACAAGCTTTGTAACAATGACGCAGTGCACAGAACATGTCATCATTGTTATGTACAAGAAAGGATACACATTGGACAATATCATTGACAACACATCACAATAGTGAAAGGCTGTACAAATACAGTTATCAAAGCCTCAGTACCAGAAAAACACATGTGTAAAACAATTTTTAAACTAATATGAGGCAAAAGCACAAAATCAATTGAGCTGACCTGTACATAACAGTGATGACAAACATGACTTGTACATAACAATGATGACACAATGTACAGGAAAAGACGAAAGTCTTGCCTCCCGAGAGAAAAGCGCACTTTAAGAATTTAAAAAAAAAGGGAGAGGTTTCTTTTGCTTTGAAACAGATATCAGGTCATATCAAAGACAGTGGACGATCACAATTATGTTGCTAATTATGACAAACAGTACTCGTACATAACAGTGATGACAAAACATACTGGGAAAAGGTAAAATCATGCGTACAAAGAACAAATTTGCACCAAGAGATACACAGATCAATAAAGGCGTATTTTGCTTCTAAATTAATCTTGCATATGTATGAAATACGAAGTGGCTAGCCGTACTTAAGTACGGCTAGACTGAGAGTCTAGCCGTACTTAAGTACGGCTAGACTGCCAGTCTAGCCGTGCTTAGATCTAGGTTTGGCCCAATCGACTCAATCCTGTTAAGTACACAGGTCTCATTAGATCTAGATCTAGTAATTATTCAGGTTCAAATACATGCAAGTCAGTAAGGCACCTTTTGGTTTTGTCTGAAATACAAATACTTTAGGCATTGCAAACTAAAATTTTCATTTACAATTCAGCCATCAATATTAAGTACGGCTAGACTGACAGTCTAGCCGTCCTTAAGTACGGCTAGCCTGGCTGTCTACCCGTACTTAAGTACGGCTAGACAAGAAGTCTAGCCGTACTTAAGTACGGCTAGACTGCCAGCCTAGCCGTACTTATCTTAGGCCCTATTTACATTAGAAAACAGGAGGTTTAAAATACATGCACTGTCATTAAGGAACCTGGTTTTGTCTCAAATACAAATACTTTAGGTACTGCACACTAAAAATGTATATTTACAATTCAGTAGGCCTATTTTTTGTAAATGGTCAGTCTAGCCATCATATTAAGAATATGTACGGCTAGCCTCTTCCTATGAAATATATGTTGAAAACTTATTGATATTAGCAATGATGACAAATATTACTTGTACATAACAATGTAGCAATGCCAATCGGGCTTTCCCGCGAGGCGAAAATTTGGTCCCCGTTTACGGGCGATTTTGCTGACCCAGCCGAAGCGTAGGTGACTAACTTTGTCAACCTCGGTCTGTTCTATTTCCGAACCAATCCGAATGAAACTCGGCAACCAATCAGAAAATAGGGCAAACTAATGATATGTGGACGTTGAAATTCGTACACATAAATTAACCTATACTTTTGGTGTCGGGAACACTTTCGTATCGTGTACACCGAAAACTATAAGGAGTTTGAATTTCAACGCCGAGATGGTAATAGATCTATCTATCCTCTATAGTGTGCTCAGATTTGAACGTTCTGTGTCAAGTAGTTGTTTAGACCCGATCATAAATGCACGACTACCCCCCTATCCAAAGCGGCTTCGCACGGAGACCGGCCATTTTCCCCTCACTCTCGTGGCAAATGTATGTGACCTACAAATCCCCGCATGACTATTCCGGGCCCGTTCATTGGTCACTTGAAATAGGGCAATGGCGGGCGCGCGCATCCGGTTGTTTTTCTCTCTATTCCCCTGTAACATCGCTATGGGGGTATTCCGAGGCAAGGTTATCTCGCCTCGGGGTGTTCGCGTCTCAACGGGGAAAAAGAATTTTTAATTGTACGGCATGCTAGATTGAATTAACTTATCTTTTAAGGTTGGCATGGTCTAAAGAAACAGATTTACAGATTTGGTTCGGAAATAGAGCAGACCGAGGTTGACAAAGTTAGTCACCTACGCTTCGGCCGGGTCAGCAAAATCGCCCGTAAACGGGGACCAAATTTTCGCCTCGCAGGAAAGCCCGAAGTTCTTTGGTCCCCAGGTATGGAACGAAATCCCATATAAAATAAGATCTGCCCCAACAATTTCCATTTTCAAAAATCAGCTGAAGCATTTTTTATTCACAAAAACATACCTGTCATAATGATGTACTGTGATATATATGCATGTGTATGCCAGACTGTGAGACTGAAGAAATAGCGAGTGAGAATGAGAGAGAGAAAAAGAGAGAGATAGAGAGAGAAAAAGAGAGAGATAGAGAGAGAAAAGAGAGAGATAGCGAGAGAGGGAGAGAGAAAGAGAGATAGAGGGAGAGGGAGAGAGAGAGAGACAGAGAGAGAGAGAGAGAGAGAGCGGAAATGTTTTTCTATCTGTATAGAATTAATGTTTTAATGAATGTTTCTAGTTACTCACGTTTCAACTGTATTTTGACTGTTCGTGAATTTATATTGCATTGTATATTTTTAGTGAACACATTTTCAACCTCACTGCGAGACTGTTTTTCTGGTATAAAATTTTACACATATGCATTTATATTATATGTATAATACTTTGTTTTACGTACACATTTGTGTCGATTAATTTTTAAGATGTGATGTCTTTTTCATTGTAATGCGCATTGAGCATCTTTTAGGAAATGGAAATGCGCAGTATAAATGCTATTTATTATTATTATTATTATTAAAGTCATCATAAAAAGCTTTGCAATTATTTAGTCACGCTGCCGACATATATTCTTAAAGATCCCATGTTGTGATACGATGCTATAAATAAAATGGACTCATCCCGACACCACTTTTTAGCAAAATCGTAATATGTACACCACAATTTTAATTATAACAAAATAACTACGAAATTGGTAGTAAATCTGACTGCAGAAATGATTTCTACACTCAAAAACACATCGGGTATCCAAGTTTCTCTCGAACACTCTGATTAGTTACCGAGATATCGTCGATTTTCTTACAGAATCTGCTACTACGTGGTCCACTTTTTAGGAGTATTTTCCTATATGTGGATCATCCATATTTTGCCGACCTTTACAACCCCATAACTTTTTTTTATTTATGAACCGATTCTCAAAATTCAAGAAGCATAATTCTTAGAATTGAAAATTCTTTCTTAGGTACCAAAAAAAAAGGGGACAAAAGTGAAAATTTAAATTTTCATTGGCATTGCTAAACAATGATGACACAATGTATTGGAAAAAGGTATATCATACCAACAAAGGACAAATGTGTATTTTTGAGTTAGACAGATAAACAAGGACATGTTTATTTGTTTGAGTAAAGAGAGCACACATTACTTTAAAAATGTTTGCTCTTAGGACAATGCAATTTCTAGCTTGCAAAGAAACGAATGCGATAATAATTGAAAATGACCGAATGTCAAAATACTGCCCGAATCCATGAGAAAACAAAAAAAATGTGACTGAACACGTAAATAAATCGGGCATCACTTTTGCACCCAGTAAGGGCCTCAAATATGAGAACAAGCTGAAACAGGTCATTCCTGGGGTCATCCAATCACAGGGCTTCCTGTAGCTGGTTTCGGTTTGTCTCTAAGGCAAGGCAGAGATAGGAGATATAAAGCTTTAAAGTCGACGTGCCTGTTTTCGTCCTAATTTTGACCGAACCGGTAATTTTACTCTAGAGGCAAAGTCAGTCCGCTTGTCCGGTATTCTTCAATCTTACGGATTCTAGAATCTAGATCTAATCTAGGTTCTAGATCTAGATTCTAGACATTTAATCGACATTTTTAACAAACAAAGACAATGCTATAAATACTTATAAAGTATTCATTCAGGGTGGTGCTCAAGACAAGTCTAGATCTAGAAACAATTAAAATTGGCCACCACTATTTCTCTGAACGTTCAGGAAAATAAAGCTGAGCAGTAGATTCTAGATCTATTTCTCCGAACGTTCGGGAAAATAAAGCTGGGCACTCCGAATGTTCGGGAAAATAAAGCTGGGCACTATTTCTCCGAACGTTCGGGAAAATACAGCTGGGCACTATTTCTCTGAACACTTTGAAATCACATCCTTTCCCGCAAATTTCGGATATATATAGAGTCTATATATATATATTTAGATCTACATCTAGATCTTTAATTATATTAAAGTATAGGCCCTCCAAAGATTGTTCGTATACACAATTATAAGGTTCAATCGGTCAAAAAAATGTCCACAGTAAATATTTATATATAAAGAAATGCTACAGTTCCAAACAGTTTTTCGCTACAGATTATGACGTGTTTCCTATGAAGGGTGCTTCTCTTAAACTTAATGTGTTGTGTTCACTCGTGTCGTGCTGTCTAGATCTCTAGATCTATGGAGGGTTATTGATAACGACATATATATAGAACTAGCATCTCTTCGTTTGTCGCGGCAGCGACCAATCAATTGTGGCTCGATTTTTTGGCAAACCTCTTTACTTTTGAAAGAAAGTTCACTTAGCTTCACTTCGTCTCTTTCTCACTTGTTGTCACCACGTTGATTTGTTGATTACGTTACAGTTATATATGATTTATATTGCTGTTCCTCTTTTATTTTTCCCTCTTTGTGGTGTTTTATTTTGTTGGTGTAATTGTTTTTTCTTGTTATTGTTCTGATATGGTTTTTTTCTATAATTTTGTTGTTGTTGGGGAAAAGGGGGGGGGGATGTTGTAAAGTGTAACGTCATTTAATTTGATGTTCCTACCTTCATTAAATTCTAAATATAGATTTAAATAAGTTATGTTAGAGCGTTCCACCAAAATGGATTACATGTACTGACACTGGCAGGCCCCTTGTGTGTAATTTTCTTTTTCACGTTGTTGAAAATTGAAATAGATCTAGATCTAGACCCAAAAATTTGCTCCTTCCCTGACCTCGCAGAATGGCAGAATGAAAGTTGGCGCCGAACTCTTGCAAATAGGCAAAAAATCAACCGGAAGCGAGAAACCGTTCGGAGAAATAAGATCGGCACTATTTCTCCAAACGTTCGGAGAAATAGTCACTTCGATTAAAATTAGATTGCTTTTTTGGTAGTTCCCACCCCCCTTATTTGAGCCTGACCTACATCTAGACCTAGATCTATACGTTTGATTTGCGGCGAGCTAAGATATCAAACCTAATAACTGCAAAACATCAAATTGTGGTAAAATTCAGGGGGGGGAAAACCCCCCTACTCTTGGGGCCAAAACCTGTGAATAACAATTGCGGGGTGGGAACTACCGAAAAACCGCCAAAATTAGGCTGCTGTTAGGGGACGCGTACCGTTCCCGAACACTGCACTGTTAGGGACACATACACGCTTCCCCAGCTCTTGATCTAGATTGTTATTGTTAGGGACGCGCACAGAATTCACGCTTCCCCAGCACTGGATTGTTAGGGACGCGTACGCTTCCCCTGCACTGGACTGTGAGACGCGTACAAGGACCTTTTTGGTTGCGTATGGTAGATTTTACGCTTCGACAACACTGCACTGATAGTTTTATGGATGCATGCACACGCTGCCACAGCTCTACTGAATTATTGACCCGTATTTGTGACATCGACGTCACAGTAGTACCAAAGATTCTGTACTACCAAGATGTTTCAATTGCTCTAGCTAGATCTATTTCGCATCTGGATGTGACCTTGACGGCCTGTGATACGAGTGTAAACTGTAAACAAACGTTCCAGAGCACAGAGAAATGGGAAGCAAGAGAAAGAGGGAGAGAGAGAGAGAGATAGGGAGGGGAGGAGAAAAAGTAAAAGAGAGAGAGAAAGAGGGGGGAGAGAGAGGGAGAGAGAGTCAAAGAGAGGGGAGGGGGAAGAAAGAGGTAGAGAGAGACAGAA